CAAAGGTCCATCAACAACTATGAAATTTTAAAAATTAAAAAAAAAAAAAAAGAATTAGACCACCATGTCTCCTCCCAGACCTCACAAACACAGTGGCTACCTCAGTCTCATCCTGAAAGATGGCACAGAGTTTACTGTCTGAAGAAATTGAACCGGGTCTGGGGATACCAGCTGAATGAAAGAGGAGTCAGGCACCACACTGAAGCCAAGGATATGACAGTGTCGATGCTGAAAAGTGAGACCCACCCCTCAGTCCCTCCTCACTTTGAGAATTCTGATAACAAGGACAAAATAATTAAGATACTGATATTTTGGGGTGCCCCACAGATGGCCTGTCCCAGCTAATCACCCTATAGGGAAGTCCACCATCCATAAAGCATGTACACCTGGGCGGGTGCAGCAGGGAGGCCACTGTGGCCCGGGCGAGCCGGGGAGAGAACAGTGCCAGGTCACCTGGAGCCATGAAAGCCCTCGGAAGGACTGTGGGTTTTGCCTTGAGGGACATGGAGAGCCACTGTGGTGTTGAGCAGAGAAGTGGCGTGATCGGACTATGGTCTTAAAAGGTCACTCTGGTGCTGTGTTGCGATCTGGCCAGCAGTGCTGCTCCATCACTGTGTTAGACCTGCTGTGTCCTCTGAGCTGCTGTCCTCTGGTCCTCTCTTCAGAAGTGTCTCCTGGCTCCTCCTCTGTTGCTCTGCTCCCAGTCACCAGGACACGTCCTACGGCCCCCACTCCTCCTGCACCACATCCTAAAGCCTGGTTCCACCTCGAGTGTTCACACGGGTTTAACAAGGGCCCCTCTCTGTTCCTTGTTGTTTGTTGAACCTCTCAGGCATGTGCAAATAAGGATTAAGCATTTGTTTATGGAATAAAACCTTTAATTTTCTGCTTTCTGAACCTCTGTCATCAGGCAGAATCCTCCACAGAGGTAAGCTTTGGATAGCTCTTGAAGTACCCAACAGTTTAAGCTGCTTGAAATAAAATGGGAAAATGGAAACATCGGTCTTACATCTTAAATTCCAGCCTGCAGACCCTTGGCAAGTTAAGCAGCAAAACTCTTCCCCTTGTGGACACACAAACTTTTAGTCTGTTTAAATCAAATATATTTAGATTATACAGAAAAATACCTGAGCCACTTTTTTCCATAGAATCATTTTCTTCTGTAGATTTTCAATGGTACTGTTTCTCTGATGTTAACAAAATAAATAAATAAAGCCTAAGAGACTTCTGATAAAGTCGGTGATAGAACTGGCGGCTCCCAGAGTTTATCTTCCTCAAAACTGTATGAGTTAATAAATATCAAATGTAAAAACAACAAAGAACATGCCACCAACCCTGAGGCCAAAAAAAGATACAGCTTTATACTGTAAGCTTTGAGAAGTGTCATCCAGGGAAAGAAAAATTGGACCAAGTTGAAAAAAAGAAGATACTGGAAAATCAATATGTTCTTCAAAGAGAAAAATGGAACATGGAGAAGCACAAGGAGGGAATTCTGGAAAGTCTTGCTGCTTTTGAAGGCGTGGGCATGGAGCATAGAGAGAAAAGACTTCTTGCCCAAGCAAGAAGAGCCAGCAAGGTGTACCCTCTTTCCTGTATCTGAAAGATCCGTGAGCGGGGAGCATATGCTAGCAATAATTACTACAGCTTACCCAAGAAGAGCTCCAGGAAGCATGGAGAAAGAACACTGAGCCAAAACCCACGGTAGACTTCCACTCAGGGAAGCATTTGTTTCCTTAGAATGAAGGAAAGACCTCGATGGCAGTGACCCAAAGCCCTAGCTCTCTCCCCATGCTCTTGGGCAGCTGAAAGACTAGATAAGGCTTACAAACCATGACACAGCCCGTTGTACAGAGCAGATACAATACGACCAGTGAAGCACTATGTGGAGGCAGATGGAAGGCTGAGGAAGAATGGCTCACATGCAGGAAGGAGTTTCCAGGTCACACTGACACGTGACCCAAGGAAAGAAAAAAATTCCACATACAAAAAGAAAGTAGCACAGCCTTCTGAAGACAAAGAATGGGCTTTTTAGAAGCCACTGTAGCCTGTGCTTGCTCAGCATGGCACTCCTTTAGTGTCTTGTGTGTATTGACGCCATTAATCCCCAAGACAGTGTGAGGCAAGCACCATAACCATGCCCATTTTGCAGATAATAAATCTAAGGCACAGGGGGTAAAGAAGCTTGCTCAAGTCTACCCAGCAGTTACAATCAGAGCCAGGACCTGGACACAGGCAGCCTGGGTCCAGAGCCCGTTCTTAACTATTCTCCCCAGGACACACATTTTAGGCAACTGCTCTGTACTCACAAGGGAATTAAAGAGAATAGAAATTTACTGGCCACGCACCTTTTCTTGGAAGCTACAGATGGAAGAAGAATGAGAAGGACATTAGCTCAGGAATCAGGAAACCAGTGTGAAGGAGTAGTTTTAAAAGTCCCAGGAGAAGAGCTGTGCGGAGGGCGTAAAGTGTGTGAGAGAGACGGGAAACACCAGGTTCAGTTAAGGTGCCTGGCAGTTGGAAAAGTTGTGCTAGTCATTTGGTGGGTCCTCAAGAGCATTTGGCAAAAAATAGCAGTAGGTATACTAGAAGATAAAGCCAATTTTTAAAAAGTTGCCTCTACTTTTTTGACTATAGGTAAAACCAGATTCACTTGATAAAGGAATCATAGTCATACTCCTTAGCAAATCCATGAACCAATGTAATATATGATGCAATATAATATATGCACATATGAATTACTCATTCAAGATAGAAAATTATTGATCTATGTAACGTGAACACTACCGACTTAAATTTTTCATGTAAATACTATTTGGATGATAGAAGAAGTAAAAATGATAGCAAGAGAGATAAACCACCAACTTTTTTAATTTGGATTGTTTCTAAAAGAAATCAATCAAGAAATAACACTACTGTGTATTATTTATAAATGTGACAGTCAATACCAGAAGCAGCAGCTGAAATGATCTGTGTCGACTGAGACTGCAAGGTGGAGAGGTGGGGTCAGGTGGGTGAGGGAAAGTGCCCCTGCCTTTTATTTTAAGCATTTTATACTATTTGTGTTTTTCTAACTGCACAAAACCTGGGGGGGGGGGGGACAAACACAGATGAAACTTGTCCTTAAAGAGCACTTACTCATAAAACGTTTTAAGAATTATTAAAGAATCTAACAAAATATTTTAATAAAAAGCTCTCTAAAATGCCTTTTGGAAATTCAGGATTGATTTTTCTATGTAAGTGTGGCTCCCGGGAGTCTTAATTTTCTTCCCCTTAAAAAAATAAAAATAAAAAACTACAAACAGCATGAACTTTAAAAAATGTTGTTTTATCTAAGAAATTGAATCACACACTCCCACCCTCTAATTGTATTCCTTTGGTTCTCAAGATGCTACAGCAGGGTCCCTTATTTGAGCACTCGGGTGGAGGCGCTCAGCCATCTGCACAGTGCATTCGGCGACAGGGAAGAGAGCCACTTGGACTAAAAAGGGCCGCTGTGCTGATGCCACGTGAGAGAGCTTTTACTGCTTCTTTGTCTCTAAATAACTGTTTACATGTGAACTCCGGATCCCCATCACAAATGGCTCGTGCGCCTTGCTTCCCTTATATATTTTAGTCTTTCTTGACCCGTTGGGATCCTCCCATGTCACGTGCAAAGAGATTTATCTTGTCTGTGTACAGGCTGCAAAGGGAGCCCATCGCAGGCGTGTGGGGCACGTTGAGGGTCTGCGTGAAGACACTCCCCAAACAGCTGGATAAAAGAGGCAGTGCACGTGTTTGTAGGCACAGATGGGGATTTAAGAAGAAAGAAAGAAACCCGGAGGAGTCTGGAGGACCCATAGTGTGGGCTTTGAATGAGAGGTTGAAAATCTTGGCCCTTTCAGGTGGGGAGGAGTGGGGGGACATATGCCACCAACATAAGAATTGAAATGGTTATCTAAGGTGGTTATTGCAACTGAAGCATGATGGGGGGGTGGACACAAGTAAGCACGCATTTAGGATATTTGGGATGGTGCAGGCTCTGGTAGCAGAAAGGAATAGAGATTCCAACTGGAAATATTGCTGGTGGTAGAAAAAAATTATAAGGATGAGCCAGTAATGAAGATCACATCAAATTTATTTTTGCTCATGAGGTTGAGAAAATGGATCCTGGACACAGTATTCTGAACGAAATAGAAGTGTCTCTGCTTGGATGAAGTTGGCATTGAGACATGTACATATTGACTGATTTCTGACACTGAAAAACTTTTCATGAACATTCATATGGCCAGGTGTGGTGGTGAACATCTGTAATCCCATGACTTGGGAGGCTGAGGCAGGAGGATTGAAAGTTTGAAGCCAGCCTCAGCAACTAGCAAGGCCCTAAGTAATTTTGTAAGACCCTGTCTCAAAAATAAAAATAAATAGGGCTAGGGATGTGGCTCAGAGGTAAAGCATTCCTGGCTTCAATCCGCAGTACCCAAAACAACAAGATTCCTATTATGTTGATAATCTGTTTCACCCTTTTCTCAGGAACACAACTAAATTCTTGGGAGTTTACTTCGCACCTGGGGAGGTGGGTGCACAGATTGTGTTGGAATCATAAGTCCAAAATGACATTAGCTAGTGGCCGGTGTAATCTGTAAGGTTTAGCTTCACCAGAGAACTGTAGATGGCATTCAGTTCTGATTCGTCTTGCTTCCCTTCAACATTCCTAAAATCTTTATCTACACATATTTTTTTTTTTTTGGTTTTCTTCTTTTCATGACAATAAAACAAGACTCCACTTTGAAACTCCGCACAAGCTTCTACACAGAATAATGAGACCTATCAAATGACCAACGTGGTTCCTAGCGCCCTCTGTTGGTGGTACACGGAATTGGCATGGTTAGGCTCTGGCCCCTGTGTACTGGGCTGCAAGTTCCTCAGTTGAGTTTGTGAAACAGAACAGCTTCTATAATGTCAAAGTCACCTACTACCCAGCCAGACAGCAACATTCTCCTCTTTCTTTCTCTGTCATGAAGGTGTGGCGGGGCACCTTGGCCCGCATGCGGTACAGGAGGACCAAGGCGGCTCTGACGATAATCAGGTACTACCGGCGTTACAAAGTCAAGTCCTACATCCACGAGGTGGCCAAGCGCTTCCAGGGCGTCAAGACCATGAGAGACTATGGGAAGCACGTGAAGTGGCCGGCCCCTCCTAAAGTTCTGCGCCGATTTGAGGAATCCCTCCAGGCCATTTTTAATAGGTAAGAGCTTGTCCCTATGTGCCACATCCATGTAGAGCAGCACCCTTAACACGTAGTCACAAGTCCTGGACACTCACACTGGCTCCGCTCTTGCTGTTGTGACATTTACCTATCCCTGTGTCTTCAGTTTTATAGATTTTGCTTTCAGAGGGCATCTTCTTGCCTCTCAAAATAATGACACTGCCAATTTATTTTTCCTGTAGCAGTTGACAGCAGCATGCCATAACCCCTGGGTGGAAGCCACATTTAGAAAAGCTACTGGCATGCTGTCTCTACTTTGTTATTAGCAAAAATAACTATTTCTTAAAGTCACCCCCACATAACTCATACTAGGAAGCCCATTGATCCCTTCAGAGCAACAGTTCCCAGTCCAGCTGTGCCTGAGACTCACAGGGAGTTTATGAAACACCAACTTCCAGAGAGTTCTGTTCAGTGGAGCTGGGGGTGGGGCCCAGGCAAAGGGCCTTTTAAGGTTTCCCTGGTGATTTTTAAGTACAGCCACTGAGGAAAAACAACTGTTTTAGACCAAGCTTTTTTTAATATAAACACCCATGTAAATTTTGGTACCTTTCCAACTGATCTTCTTTTTTTTTTTTTTTTATAACCTGCCCTGAATCTGAGTCTGTCCTTACATAAGTCCTTCCTCATCACTTTTGGAGCTTATTTATTGCTTGTGTGCACCAGATATACAGTTGTCCTCCAGTGACTCCAGGAGATCCATTGCAGGGCCCCCTGTGGACACCAAAATCTGCAGATGCTCACTCCCCTTATGTAAAATGGTGTCACCTCTGCATGCACCCCATGCACATCTTCCCACATGCTTTAAATTATCTCTGGATTAGTCACAATTCCTAATACAAAGTAAATGCTGTGTAAATCATTGTTATGCTGTATTGTTTAGGCAATAATGACAAGAAAAACGTCTGTATGTGTTCAATGAAGTCACACAATTTTTAATCCAAAATGAATTGAATCCCTGGATGTGAAACCCATAGATACAAAGCACTGACTGTGTGTAGCTTTATCTTATAAACTTAGCTAGCAGTTCTCAAATAGTCATTTGATATCATTAAATAAAAGAATACTAATGATATCCTGAATGTAAAAGAACTTATAATTCTGTGTTAAATCAGAATTTATCTTCTTTAGATTTTGCTCTATATAACCAGTAGAAGGTATCAAAAGATAAAATGAAAGAAAACCTCTTTACCATGTACCTCATTTGCATTTTTAAAAAATAGGAAGTGAGTGCTCATAAAAAGAGATCAGCCATGTGCAGTTTTTAAATTTTCTATGGGTCTGTAAGTGTGCCAATCACTTATTTATGCTATTTTATTATTTAAAAGTCTGTTTATGATGAGCTCAGTAACACACACCTGTAATCCCAGCTACTTGGGTAGCTGAGGCAGAAAGATTGCATTCAAGGCCAGCCTAGGCAACTTAGCAAGACCCTGTCTCAAATTTTTAAAAAGTATGGGGGGAGCTGGGATATAGGTCAGCAGTGGAACACTCCTATGTTTAATCTCTAATGTTGAAAAGAAAAAGATCAAACAATATATTTGAAAACAGAAGTTTCTCAATCCTCAAGTCTTAAGATACAATACCATAAGTGTTAGTTTTCAATCTTGACAGGCTTTTTTTGTGTGTGTGGGGTGGGGGGTGTACTGGGGATTGAACTCAGGGGCACTCAACCACTGAGCCCCATCCCCAGCCCTATTTTGTATTTTAGTTAGAGACAGGGTCTTACTGAGTTGCTTAGTGCCTCACCATTGCTGAGGCTGGCTTTGAATTCGCAATCCTCCTCCCTCAGCCTCCCAAGCTACGAGTTTTACAGGCATGTGCTACTGTGCCAGGCTCAGGCTTTTTAATACATAGGTAAAATACTTTCATGAATGGCATCATCTACAATCTTTACTTTTATATGATTTAAAAGTAATTAAGCTGTACTTAAAAGCAAGCCCATTGTTTAAGTGAAACATAGGATATAATGTTAAAATCCTCCATATCTCTCTTGCCATTCTATTTCCTTTCCCTGGAATGACTATTCATCAACAATTAGTTTCCTTCAAAACCTTTTTCTATGTGTTTCTGAACACACACACACACACACACACACACACACACACACTTGGGGACAGCATGATAGAGTGGTTAAAAATACAGACCCCAGTTGGGCACAGTGGTGCACATCTGTAATCCCAATGACTTGGGAGGCTGAGGCAGGAGGATTGAAAGTTCAAGGCTAGCCTCAGCAACTTAACAGGGTCCTAAGCAACTTAGTGAGACCCTGTCTCAAAAAAATAAAAACTAAAAAGGACTGGGGATGTGGCTCAGTTGCAAAGCCCTGAAGATTGATTCAATACCCAATACCAAAAAAAAAAAAGAAAGAAAGAAAAAATCCATAGAGCCCTGGGGCCTGGCTGTTCTGACTCTGCAGTGGACTAGCTGTGTAACTTTGGGCCAATTAGTTAACATCTCAGTGCTTCAATTTCATAATAATGACACCTGCGTCAGAGGGTTACTGGAAGGTTTCAGATGGTGCCTGGCACGTAATAAGTGCTCTGGAAATGTTTGCCCATGCTGTGAGTGCACTGCACAAACACAGCCACATGTCACTTGGGCTTTCCCCCTCCTGTCTTTTTTTACATAAGCAGGATGATATAGATAGTCCTATGACTTCAGTTAAAAACAAGTCATGAAGACCAGTCCACGACAATCAAGAGAAAATCAGGAGAAAATCCACAGAAAATTGTGCTCGATTTCTGTTAGATTACAGTGTGGCCTATACAGTCTTCTTTTTACATTTTGAGGGGTTTTTTGTGGCCCAGATTGATTAATCTGCGTAAAATCCAATTTACACATTCAGCAAATATTTACCTAACACCTGCTGTGTTGCGGATACCGACCTGGATCCCAGGGATGTGGTGACAAACAAGAAGGATGGGAAAGACAAACCCAGCCCCCCAGGAGTTACAGTCGATGAGCACATGACAATAAAGTGTCTGCTCTGTTTGTCGTCTGTACGCACACCGCGTGTACCCTCACGTGCTCTCGATGAATTTCCCATTTGTATTCACCCACTCAGAAGTCAGCAAACTTTTCCTGTAGTGAATGTTTTAGGCCTTATAGGCTGCGTGTGGTCTCTAACACATTCTTCTTTGGTTTGGTTTGGTTTGGTTTGGTTTGGTTAAGTACATAATAATGTAAAGACTCTCCTTAGCTGATAAGCTGTACAAAAGCACACCGTGGGTCACATGTGGTACAAGCTATGGCTTACCACCCTGATCTTGAACTTTTTCATCTGTGAACTACTGAGAGAAGTGCGTTAAAGGAGTCAATAGTCATTGTTGGAGTCTTGTTTTTATTTTTCTGGAATCTCAATGCGTACCTAACCGTGTTTAAGATCGCTGCTCTTCTTCACATTAATTCTTTTCGGCCAAGCCCGCTTCATGCCCAGATTTGTCCCCTCTCCATGTCCTCAGGCTGCTGGTTTATGAGCTGTCGTGGTCTGCTCACACAGCCACAGGTGGTGGTTTGCATAACCAGGATGAGAACCCCGCGTGGTCTTTCGACAGTGGTGCTGTCAGGTCCCCTGTGCCCCAGCAGTCTGCCTTTGTGCCTCTGTAGTCAGGCAGGTGTGGGCCTTGTCCTGGGCCACCGTGGACAGTAAACAAGGAGAGCCTGAGCAGGGATAGGCTGGAATCAGAGCAGCAGTCAGAGAAGAGCCAATAATGAAATCTGGATCTCAAGAGTTCATTAGGGCAGTTGCTGAGAAAGCTGCTTAGTGTGGTAGAGCCTGCCTGTCACCAGTATCCTTGACCTTGGCCTCCACTGCTCCATGCTTGTCACTTTTCTAGCCTCTTTGGTCTTGACCTTAGGACAGTCTGACTCATGACTGCCAGGTGCTGTAGGAAGTAGGGAGGAGGTTCTTGCTGAGGTGCTGAGCCTTTGCTTTCCCATGATTGTTGTGCCATTGCTGATCCTCGCTGCCAGGGAAGGTGTCCGACCTCACATGACCAGACAGTTCATGTGCAGGGAACTGGCAAAGCTCCCACCTTAAAAATCCATCACCTCCTGCCCCAATACTAGTCCCTGCTGCTTAGGCTTAAGGACTCTCTGGGCCTCATTGAGAAACCCATGCGGCCTGAGGATTCCTCTCCTCCCGCACTGAGCCACCTCTCCAGCCCCACCCCGTCTGCTTCATATCTTCCAGAAAGCCTTTGCACCTTCCAGTTTATTGACATCATTCCCATTTCCTGGTGGTGTTTTCATTTTCCCCTTATTTTTAGATTTATTCAGTGATCTCAGGGAGAATTTTCAATTTCAGTTGAATCTTGTTCTAGTATTCCACAGGAGCATCATTTGAGAACCTTTGGCCTGACGGTTCGTCTCATTAGAGGAAGTTCAGTCTGCTTCCGCCCACCCTGCTTCAAACTCCTGTGGCAGAAGACAGAAATAGGCTGAGATGCTGCAAAGAGCACAAAACACCTCAGACCTGTTTTTCTCAATCAGGATTTTATTTGATTTATGCTTTCAGTTGTTTTGGGGAAAAAGAAAACCTTAGAATCATCACAAACCACCCTCTTTCCCCCACATCTAGTCAGAAAATCCAAATGGCTCTTCCTTCAGAATGTGTCCAAAACCCATCTTCACCTTCACCACCACCTCCCTGGTCAGGCCCCCTTCCTCCAGCTTGTACATTATGGAAATAGCCTCCCCACAGGTCGCCCTGTCCCCAGCCTGCAGCAATCACAATGATCCTATTACAGTGCCAGTCAAGTCACGTCCCTTCTTTGTTCAGAACCTCCCAGTGTCTTTTCATTCAGATGAAAGGCCAAAGTCCTGATAACCGTCTCCTGGTTCCGTGGATTCTGGTCTGTTCTCCCTCTCCCAACTCTCCCACCTCAGGCCTCTCCAACCTCACAGGATCCTGGCTGCACCTCTGACCCTCCAAGCAGACCCGTCTCCCAGCCTTGGCACCTGCCATGTTCTCCTCTTCCTGAAACGCACCTGCTCAGCTGTGCGTATGGCTGGCTCCCTCGCTTCCGTGGCCTCTGCTCTTCTGAAGTGCCCCCACCATACGCTCTGTGTAGGCACCACCACTGGCGGTCCTTCCTTCATGGCTCTACCTGCCCTCCTCGCCTGGTCCTGCAGGGCTGCCCCTCACACATGCTGGATGTTCACTTGCCGAGTGTCTGAGCCTGTCACTCCACTCTACAGTATAGGCACATGTTAGAAAGGACTTCTGTCAGTTCGCCTTGTTGCTATGCCTCCCCTGCCTAGAACAGTGCCTGAAGTTCAGTGGGTGCCTTGGAAGCACTTCAGTGAATGAATGGTGACTCCATACGTCTGGTGCCCTGTGAACCCTACTTGAGTATCCCTTGTCAGAAATGCCTGGGACCAGGAACGTTTGAATTCAGAGGTTTTTACAGACTTTGAAGTATTTGCACAGACTTTACTGATTGAGTTGTACTCAAGAAGTTCTGGATTCCAGAGCATTTCAGATGTCTGATTTGGGGATTAGGGATGCTCAACTTGTATTACTGGAGCTCATGGGTCACAGTTCTGGTTGCTTTTAAAGCACACAAACAACAAAGGAAGCTTTAGAAAATCTTTGCATAAAACTGGGTGTTTTATAAACTTCTATATACATTTTGGGAACATTTTTATTCTTTTTTAGTCTAGTTTGCAAGTGCTTTGGTTTCATTTACTTAATGGCAGCTGAAGTTATTTTTGAGAATGAATGGGATTGTGTTTCTGAAGTCTCTCTGGTTTATTTCCTTGTAGATGGAGAGCAGCCCAGCTCATCAAGAGCATACCTGCTTCCGACCTGCCCCAGGTCAGGGCAAAGGTCGCAGCCATGGAAATGTTGAAGGGTCAGAGGGCTGACCTTGGGCTCCAGAGGGCCTGGGAGGGCAACTATCTTGCTTCGGTAAGTCTAGGAGAACAGCGTGGACTCTACTCCTGCTCCCTTTACAAAGGAAGAAGAATTTTTCCTCAAGAATGTATATGAAGGATAATAAAACACTTTCAGAAACTTAATAATTTCTGGGAGAGGTGCTAAGTTAAAGGATTTTATTGCTTCTTAATGTACAGTGTTTGATGTCATCCCTGCTTTTAAAAGGGCTCTCTGTTTTGTTCCATATGGATTAGGTACACTCTAGAACCCGGCTTTGAAAATCGAAAACTTCCCTTGAGTTATTCAGCAACTATTTTTAATTACCACCTTTATGTTAATTTATTCCAAAGCTACATTTTAATTTAAATGTTTTATGGGACCTTTACTAGCCTATCATCTGGGTTGAAGAGATAAAAATTACACCTGTGAAACTCCACATGAGAATAGTTACAGAGCCACGTGCTAAACGGTGGCCGTGGCATCTACGGTACTAAGCATTCTTGTGTCATGGTTTTCTTGTTTCTTTCAGAAGCCGGATACACCTCAGACCTCAGGCACGTTCGTCCCTGTTGCTAATGAACTGAAACGGAAGGACAAATACATGAACGTCCTCTTTTCCTGTCACGTCCGTAAGGTAAGGCGAGCTTGAAACAGACTGTCTTGGGAAGAAAAGTCAAGACTCTGGTGACACTCACTAAAGTAGACCTGCAATGAGATACAACCCTTGTGTGCCAGGCCGCAGCACCAGGGGGCTGTGCCTGGCTGTGCCGAGGCATGTTGGAATGTCACAGGGACGTAAAGACTTTTGACAGCCATTTCTCCTTGGAGCAGGTTGGGAAATCTGCTCTAGGCCAGGGACATACCTTTCAGGGCACTCAGAGCTTTCATAGCCCCCGCAGACCTGTATCTGGTGGTCCTTCAGCACTTTCTACACATGTATTATTACACATAAAAACAAAAGCAGGGTTGGGGGAGGAAGAACATAATTTGGAAAAGAGGAGGCGGTCACACCAAGGTTTGGAGGGTGGAGTAAACCCTGATATACTGTGAGTGTGTTTGCTCATCTGAAGTGGAACACGTGGGCTGTCACCAGCCTGAAGATGATGGTGGCTGGAAGTGGAAGTTGAGAAGTGGAAGGAAAGGGACACAGTCAAAGTATTTGTTTAGAAGAGTAGAGAAGACATTGAAATAATTTTAAAAGGGCATTTTGTAAAATGATCCAAATAACTTTTAAAATATTGATGAAATGAATTTAAGAAATACTACTGCCTATCCAGGCACAGTGGTGCATACCTATAGTCCCCTGACTCAGAAGGCCAAGGCAGGAGGATTGCAAGTTTGAGGCCAGCCTCAGTAACTTAGTAAGACCTTGTCTCAAAAGAAAAAGAAAAAAGGGACTGGGGGATGTAGTTCAATGGTAAAGCACTTCTGGGTTCAATCTCCAGTTCTGCAAAAGTAGAGAAAGAGAAAACTGTTGCCTAGATTGATACAAGAAGAGTTGTCAACATAAATATGACACTAGCCAAAGGAGGAATTTTCTTTAATTATGAAAGAATTGCCTCATAACAAAAATCCAACAAGTTTAGGTGACTTTACAGGTGCTTTGTTTCAAATGTTCAAAAATGTATAATTACAGTATTATTCAGATCAGAAATGAAATATAGTTTTTAGATTGTAAGCTTGGCAAACTTTAAACTGTTGATTGCAGTTCACAAGCTTTAGGGAAACACTGTTGTAGGAATATTAGACACATTCTTCTGAGTGGACAATTTGGCAGTACCTGTTGAAATGTAAAATGTCCATACTTCTTACTCCAAAAGCTCCATAAACCAGGATCTTTCTCTACAAATATATTTGCACAGATATCCAAAGGAGATAGATATTTGAGTTTTTACATTGTAATGCAAAAAAAAAATGGAGAGATAAAACTACATCAATAAATGATTGAATTAATAAATTATAAGCGTACACAATAGAATACAATGTAGCTATTTATATGAATGGGAAATGGATATATGTGGAAGGGAAAGGGCATCAAAAAATGTGAAACTTGGGACTGGGGATGTGGCTCAGGAGGTAGCAGGCTCGCCTGGCATGCGCGGGGCGCTTGGTTCTATCCTCAGCACCACATAAAAATAAAATAAAGATGTGTGTCCACCGAAAACTAAAAAATAAATATTAAAAAAAAAAATGTGAAACAATGGTTTTCAAGATGGTGGACATCAATCAAGGAAAGATAGTGACCCCGAAAATAGAAGAAAAAGTGAGGTAAGCTATAGTTAGCCAGTTATTGCCTGAGGGGCTCTCCAGTCTGCCCCGAGTAGGGGAGCCACGATAGAGCCCAGAGATTCCCTAACTGAAAACACAGAGCTGAGAGCTGAGAGAGACCACGGCAGCTAGATTTGCAGAGCAGCATGCTGGAGAAGAGAGAGCTGCAGGGAGAGAACATTCCAAAGTCCACTTTTCATATCCCGCTGAGTACTGATCAGACATGTAGACAAGGAAACTACTCAAGGCTGGAAAACCTCAGATGCGGGGGCATCAGTAGAATACGCACAAGGGAATAATTAACCCTGAGTAAACACTGCTCCTATCCTACTGAACAAATCTTAAAAGCACAACTGGAAAGACTCAAACTGTTTCTAAGTAATCTAACAGCATCCAAAAGCAGAACTCAAAAATGTTCATAGAAATATATGTACACACACACACACACATATATATATTCTTTTTTTTTTCCTACTGGTGTTTAAACCCAGGAGTGCCTAACTGCTAAGCCACATCCCCAGCCCTTTTTATTGTTTGAAACAGGGTCTCAAAACTCCATTGCTTAGGGCCTCACTAAGTTGCTGAGGCTAGCCTCAAACTTGCAAGCTGGACATGGTGGAGCGCACCTCTCATCTCAGTGATTTGGGAGGCTGGGGCAGGAAGATGGCAAGTTGGAGGCCAATCTGAGCAACTTAGTGAGACTCTGTCTCAAAAAAAAAAAAAAAAGAAAAACAAAGTATAGCAATAAAACTACCCAAAATTAGAGAAATTACTCATCAAAATTAAGAAAACAACACATCAGGAAGCTCTTAGGCAATTTCATGTGACCCTATATAAGTACATTTTCAGTCCCTGAGGGAGAAAGGGGGAATTTTTTTAATTTAAAAAATAATTGCTGACATTTTTCTGAATTTGATGTAAAACATAAATGCATGTAACCAAGAGGCTGAACATATCCCAAAGCACAAAAAACTAAATTATATCAAAGTATCCTGAGATCAGATTGCTCAATACCAGTAATAAAGAGAAAAAGGCATAGAGCAACAGAGATAAAGGTACATTCAGTATCTGATCAGAACTAACGCAAGTGGAAAGATAATGGAGCAAAATCTACACAGTACTGTGGGCATGGACCCAACCTGCTAACCGAGAATTCTATACCCAGCAAATGTATCTTCCAAAAATCAAAGTGAAATAAAACCTTTTTTTAGACAAATCTGCAGATGTGCACTGCAGGGAATGTCAGGCAGAATGAAAGAGAAATGGAAATAAACTGTTGTAAGATTTTTATATCACACCTGAATTGATATAATATATCAGTAAATTGTTGTATATTATAAATGTATTCCACAAACTCTAGAACCACTAAAATAGCAAAACAAAGCTATAACTAATGAGTCAAAAAAGGAGATGATGAAATAAAACAATCATTTTCTAAAATCTCAATATAAAATAAGTTGGAAAATGTAGGAAAGGGAATAAAGGAGACAAAGAGTAAATAGGAAAAATACAGAACAAATTGAAAAGTGGTGGATTTAAACCTAACCATATGGACAATCACATTAAGTGCCAGTGGTCAAAACACCACAATTAAAAGGAAAAATTGTGCCCTCTGGGCCCGTGGAGATGTTCACTAAATGGGAAACTCTCCAAACCCAACAGCTTAGCTTTCATGGAGCCTCCTCATTACATAGGCATGATTGATTAAATCATTGCCTAATGGTAATTAACTTTGTCCCCAACCCCAGCCCCTCTTCTCTCTCTGAAGGTGCTTAGGGAGGCTATTAAAAGTTTCAACCCTGTAATCATGCCTTGGTCTTTTTGGCAACCAGTCCCCATCCTGAAACTAGGAGCCCCCAGTCACTAGTCATTTTGTTAGCAGACAAAAAACACTCATCACTCTAGAGATTCTAAAGGTCTTAGAAGCTCTTGTCAGAAACCTAGGGCGAAGACTAAATATTATAACAAAATACAATTCTATATTTTATGTGGCACTGAGACAACTAAATATATGTGTATATATATATATATATATTTAGTTTTGCAAGGGTTTTGCAAGCTCTATATCAGAACCCAGACAAAAACTTAATGCAGACTGAGCATCCTTAATTCAAAAATTCAAAATCTGAAATAATATGGAATCTGAAATGTTTTGAGTACCAGCACTATACTCAAAAATGTTTCATATTTTGGAATTCTGGATTAAGGATGCTCAACCAATAAAGTCTATGCAAATATTCCAAAATCTGAAGAACTCCCCAGATCTGAAACACTTCTGGTCCCAAGCATTTTGGATATGGGATATTCAAACTATATATTTCTTATTGCCACAAGCTTATATAGGTTTTTTAATAAATCATAGAGCACCCAGTTTTAAAGTTAGACTAAAATGTCATCAAGAAGAGATTACTGGTAATATCTCAGAGTGGTTACCACAGCTGAGTCCAGATTTGAACACAGAAATCGAGAAACTCTTTTTATGAAGTGTACCTAGAGTTAATGAGACAATCAAGAAAAGACTTTTGCCAACAAGATTCACACACCCACATGAAAAATATAAGACATGATGCCAGTTTGTGAATGTTAACCAAGGAGTGTACCATTTTAGTGAGTCCTTATAGCCAGTATCTAGCATACATCTTTTCTAGTATCAAGATCTCCAGGCAGTCAAAATAATAATCAGAACAATTGATCAAAGAGAGTTGGACAGTTTTGAAAATTAGGTATTTCACCCCAGAAAAGCCTAATGTGCCTCCTTCCAGCAAGGACAACTTAATGTCTGACAATTTTATCCTGGGTTCTGCTGGATAAAAACTGAAAATGAAAATGTTTTGTCATGTTCTTGAATTGCTAAGTTCAATACAAAATACTCTTTATTCACAGTGTAGCTTAGATAATGTCCTCTTTAGAGCTCTTCAATCCCAAAGATACACCAAGGAAAGCTCAATATGACTTCAGCAGAGCCCTCTTCTTTATGCTTTCTTTTTGAAACAGCCACTTTCCATTAACTGGAGTTATAAAACCTCCTTTAAGGTGAGAGACTTTGGCAAATAGCTTCTCTCACCCATACTCTCTGGGTATGTGTCCTCTCTGGTCTGACTCTCCAGGGAAGCATTCTCTCTGGCCCCTGGGGTACTAAGTAAACCTATAAACAGATCACTTGAAGTGTTTAGAAAAAAGCAGGATGTTAGAGATGTTTTTTCCTTGGGTCGATGATTTTAGCTTTGGATAGAAGAAACAATATGAGATCTTTTAGTACCAAGTCTTTGGACCTCTTTTTCTATTACTTTATGATTTAAGTGGTATAAAAACAGTGTTCCTGTGCCATACTTGTCCTAAGTTTGGAATTCACATATGTATGTGGAGTAATTCTCTTTGCTGTTTTGGTACAGCTAAGTTGTGAGACTTAAAGCTTTTACATTGTTATACAATGCCCTTCACTAGAGTCATGCTGTAAGGATGATTTAAGTTGCTGAAATGGAAGATAAATGTGTCCTTTTTAGAAATTATATTTTCTGCATATAAAAAATACAATCTTGGAGCTGGAGTTGTAGCTCAGCAGTAGAACGCTTGCCTTGTACGTGTGAGGCACTGTGTTCAGATTCCCAGCACCACATATAAATAAGCAAATAAAATAAAGGCCCATCAACAACTTTAAAAATATTTTTTAAAATTATATATATATAATCTTTCTTAACAGAACTTTGATACAGTTGCTGCCTATGAGGTTCTGTTAATGCTTTTCAGATTAATTCTTGGACATATCATGGAAAAGGAAACATGGCCTTTTTGGTTTGACCCTGGAATGACCTTGTGAAATTATGCAGCAGGGTTTTTTTAATCATATTCTTTTGCATCACATTCACATATTTCTCAATATGATTCCACAAAAGATGAGGAGCATACCTTTTGCTTATCGTTCAGATTCTATTTTAGATATTCTCTATTCTGCATATTCCACTGCAGATGAGGATCAGTGTTCTCCAACGTGGGTAAATGCAATTTGGAAACACTGGGTTAAACTGCTGTTTAAACGCAGAATTCTCAGAGCACTTAATATGTGCCTAGGTAATGAATTATCCTTGTGGTGGCCTTGGTTGTGATTAAGAAAACCTTGCTGAACAATTGTTTCTCAAACCAAGTGGGCCATGGAACCCTTCCTTTTTGGAGAGTCCCACACAAGGCCCGTGTGGTGCCAAGCAGCCCGGCAGTGCTCTACCTTGCCTCATTGCAAGGCTTTCAAGAAGCGCCCATCCTCTGTTATGGCAAAAATGGAGGCTGTGTGAGGCTGTTTACCAAGAGCCATAACAATTTACCACCTAGACTCTATTTTACTCTTAATTACAGACACCATTTTTTTTTTTTTTTGTCAAATTGACTGGAAAATATGCTCTGGTTATAAAGGGAGTGTTTAGAGAATTGGCTGATTTCTAAAACTATAAGGCAGAGAGAAAGATTGACTATACCTCAAACTCAGATTTGAATTCCTGTTCACTCTGTCCTTCTCCTATCAGTAAACCCTGCGCGTCCCATCCTGCCATCCTAATTCAGTCAGCATCCTGCCATCCTAATTCAGTCAGCTGAGTTCTCGCTGTAGTGCGCTGTGTTTTCAAGTCAATCTCCAACTTCCTTGTTGGCATCTTGGAAGTAAGGATTTAGGAGGAGGGCAGGGGATGCTACACCACAGCTCTGCCTCCTGGTCAGCTAGGGGAGGGCTATTTGTTTTTGTCTGATTTTGTTTTGTTTGCTTTTCCTTCTAGTCACTGAGAAACTTGGCATTTCAGTGTTATTACGTGGCATTTTTAGTGCTAGGTACCTCATTTAAAATACTACTGCTTAGTCTAAGATTGAAAGAAGTTAAAATGTTCTGTAGTTAGTTTCATCTCTTAGGAAAATATTTGCCTGCAGATGGGGGCATTCGCTGACCCTCTATCTAATAACCTAGCACCCTACAGAAGAACCCATATATATATATACTCATACATGTATATTTTCTCCCAATCTCATTATCTAATTTTATTTTCTTTATATTATCATATGAATTTATTTTCACTTATTAGTTTCTTATTCATCTTACCCCCTTATACTGGTCTCCACTTCATATTATAACCAAGGGCTTCATGTCATTGCTTTATATAAATTGGGCTGTCTTCTAATTATTGGACTATATTTGCTTTTTGTTTATTCTACATAGAAGTCCCTTATCAGTTAAATGATTTGCAAAAATTTTCTCTACTTGCGTGGGTTTGTTTTTTCACCTTGTTGATGGTATCTGGGTTTACATATTTTAGTCTTTGAATTCTGTGTTTCTCTTGTTTTCCCTGTTACACTGTAAATCTTCAGTTGCTAAATTCCATGCATCTAGAAACTGCCACTCTTTTGCGTTCCCTGTTGCATCCCATGGAGTGGCCACACATGATACCCATCTGTTAAAGGGTTTGTCTTCACGGTTAGTCACCTCTGCCCCTTGACGTTTCCACACAGATAGCTTGATTTGATTCTTGGTGACATACTATGCTGTATTGGTTTGTTTTCTTACAGGTGAATCGATTTAGTAAGGTGGAAGACCGAGCCATTTTTGTCACTGACCGTCACCTGTATAAAATGGATCCCACTAAACAGTACAAGGTGATGAAGACTATCCCTCTATACAATGTAAGTACTCTGTGCTCTCTCCACGCTGGTGCTCATGGGCCACCGGTAGGCCCACAGACTGCCCCCTCTGCTCTCCGGAGCCCCAGGGAGCGGTTGCCTTTGTGTTCCTGACATTTTACTCCAATCTTGCATTTTAGACAAATGCTCAATTTTCCATAGGCATGATCCAAAGTTCCCAGTGGATTAACAAAGGCATTTTATAAAAAGTGTAAGGAATATGGATCTGCAGGATCTTTATTACTAATTCTGCTTACTGCTTGATTGTGCTGGTGCATAATATGTTTTCTTATTTTTAAAAGGCTTGTTTTTTTATGGAAATGGAATCAAATAGAAAAACAGCAGGGAATTACTTTGTGAAAATATTACTGGTCTTTAAAATATAAAACATAAGCAGCTTCTGAAAGTTCTCACCAATATAGTTTACATGCCCCTGTTTGCCGATGGTGAGATCTCTGGTCCAAACCCACTATTGTTCACTGTATCCTGAGGGTTTTCAAATTCTGAAATCATTTTTTATCTGAACATGGAATTTTTGCCTTGAATCTCAGTATGAGATTGTTGGGTTCGTTGTTTTCGTAACTATTCTGGTTCTTCAGAAAGATTCTACAGGACTCCTGGGTCTGTTTGTGTGTCAGGTGATTTCTCTGTCTTCTAGTTTAACAGAGGAAGTCGGTTTGTCCAGTGCTAAGATCTATAAAGAGTGTATGGAGAGCATTTTAAATTCCTTTGATCTCTGCAAAAGGGAACAGGAAACATTACTGTTCTGTAGTTTTATTTTGGTATACCAGGGGTCCTTTGGTCATAAGAAACAAAGAAGTCAAACTATTCCTGGCTTTGCTGAATGACAGAAGGCCCTGGTGGGGGTCTGGGACACACCCTTGTTGTGTCACCCTCTCAACCCTTCCCACATGCACCCTGCTCCTTGTTAATAGGCGGCCAGGGGGTTGCAGCCAAGAATAAGATGACTTTGCGAGGTGCTTGACTGTGTGTAGTCTTCTTGGCAAAGACTGTATTCTTACAGTCCAACCCTGGGTAAGCCCAATAACCTGCAGTCTCAGGGTGGGAGATGGAGGAGGGCGAGGGAAACAACCCATATTGTGTCTAATGAAGTGTGAAGTCAAAGAAAAATAAATTGTGGTATGAGTTTTATTTATTTTCCCTGCATTTCTGTTAGGAAGAAATCCATCAGGCACATGATATAAATTCAATGAATAGTTGAACAATATTTTGAACTCAAATTATTTTCCAAAATTATCTTTCTTTTTCACCTTGACTGGTTTGTACTAATAGTCACTGTTTCCTGTCACCACCACTATCGTCATCATCACTATCTCTAATTACACTAATAACATAAAATATCATTAAAATAATACTTAACTGCTCTAGTAAATGTGGTGTTGGTGGGATAGGGCACTTTGATGCAAGTGCTCTCAGAGCTCCGACACCCTCCTTCATATTCCTGTACCATTTTTGTGCATGCAGCCTGATTTCCAGAAGCCCAATGTCTTTGTAGAAGGCAACCCTCGGCCAGCACCCAAGCTGCCCTCCCACAGAAAGGCTGGGTGCCCAGCCACGCAGTGAGTCAGGGCAGGAGTGTGATGCTCCCGCTCCATACTCACTGGCCAAGATGATTCCCCAGAGCTGCCCTGCAGCAGCCCAAAGCCCATGTCCTCGGCTCCCTGAGCCACCTCCCTTTCCCTTGTCACTGTCCCTGCACTTCCCATATCAGCCTCTCAAACTCATCGGCTGGCTCCTTAGGGTCTGCTTCTGGAAGGAACTAATGTCAGAAGAGTGGCAAGTTCCAAGGAGGGAGTGATTTGGATGGGAGAGGGGACTTCTAACTGTTTCTGTATTTTTTTTTAAGCTGAAGCAAATATGGCAAAACATTAAGTCTGAATGATAGGGACATGGATGTTTATTATATTGTTCTTTAGACTTTTCTACACAATTGAAATAATTTCAAATTAAAAACAAAGTTTAAGATAAAGAACCTTTTAAGGCCAGGCACAGTGGCACACAGCTGAAATCCCAGCAGCTCAAGAAGCTGAGGCAAGAGGATCACAAGTTCAAAGCCAGCCTCAGCAGCTTAGCAAGGCCCTAAACAACTCAGTAAAACCCTGACTCTAAATAAAGCACACAAAAGGGCTGGGGATGTGGCTCAGTGGTTGAGTGTCCTTGAGTTCAATTCCTGGTACCAAAAGGAAAAAATGATAATAATAATAATGGTGCTGGAGAGGCTGGGAGGGGAGGAGGAAAGCAATTTCAAGTTTGCAAGATGAGTTTCATAATGGGTAAAACTGACAAGTATTCGTTCCATACATAATTGGAATTCTGATACTATAGAGTAGAAAGGAATTCACTTAGGATTAAAATGTAAGAGCAGATCACTTACAATTTGAGGCAGAAATTATTAATCTCGAGGGAGAAGGGGGGCAGATTATTCAAGAATATCCAGTTAAAATGGAAGGAGACCCTCAGAGTTATACAAAAGTACATACAAGAGGAAGTGAGGGGAAAGGGAAAAATAATACAAGGGGGACAAATGAATGTCAGTAGAGGGGGCAGAGAGAGAAGAGGGGAGGGGAGGGGGGATAGTAGAGGATAGGAAAGGCAGCAGAACACAACAGACACTAGTATGGCAATATGTAAATCAATGGATGTGTAACTGATGTGATTCTGCAATCTGTATATGGGGTAAAAATGGGAGCTCATAACCCACTTGAATCAAAGTGTGAAATATGATATATCAAGAACTATGTAATGTTTTGAACAGCCAACAATAAAAAATTAAAAAAAAAACAAATTAGTTTTAAGCCATATGATTAATTGTAATTTATTATTGGGGAAAGTCAAATATCACAGAAGTACAGAGATTTAACATTAAAATTATTTACCTTGAAAAAAAAAAAAAGAATATCCAGTTAAATGGTGAGGAAAAGAATCACCAAAGGAAACAATAAAAAGCAGGATTCCTGTGGTCCTCCATTTTCTCATCTCTCTTTTAAGGTGCTAATCAGCTCTAATTTCCCTTCAGATCTGTAAGGTCATGAATGATGGGAGGACACCATGTTTAGAATCTCCTGGAAACCCAGGAAGGGTGGCCATTCAGGTTTCAAGGCAGCTCTGCAGGAGCATGTTATCCTGTAGCCTGTCAGTTGCTCTTTCTGTCTCTGTCTTTGTCTTTCCATTAGCCATCACCTCTTTCTTGCCAGACAGCACAGGTCAGCCCTGGGCTCAGGTTGGAATCAGCCGCTCCAGCCAGCCATTCACCGTTCATCCTGCAGTAGCGCATCATACACCGAGTTTCAGATGAAGCCTCACCATAGCAACTGGTTCTGCGTGATCCAAATCTGTACTTTTGTTCCTTGTCAAACACTTGCAAATCTATGCGTAGCCTTTCCTGACTTTTTCTAGTATGACATGGATAATTCCTATAATTCATTTTGGGCCTAACTGATCATCTTCCTCTACTAGTTTTGATCGTCATCCCAAGGCCTGAGCCACATTTGAATCTTGGTCACAGATCATGCTGACTATTGGGGTGGGTTGTTAGGTTTCCCTAGGGGAAAGGAATACTGGGAGCAAAGTGCTTCAAATAGGCAGATTCATCAGGCATTTTTAACTTCCTGGACTCTTGCCAGCCACCTCCATTCCAGTTGTCAGGATCCCAGTCAAACAGGGACCTAAAATTGTGCCAAGAATTCCCAGCATGGGTGGTTCCCTCTACTTTCTTTACTGCCTCCAGCCAGGCAACATAGGACTATTGCTTTCCTAGCGCGCCATAAAAATACCTAGTGAGTTCCACTATTCTTGTATCTCCTTACTCATTGAGCTTCTGTAATCAGCAGCAACTAAGTGCCCCAGCTGCTCAACTTTAATGGACATATCAGCTGTCCCCCACAGGTCACCAGAGGTAGTTTGTCACTGCTTCGTCCCTGCTGAGGAGAGCTGCCTTTGCCCCACCCTGAGATGTGGAACCAACTGCAGCCCCTCTGGCACTTGTGTCCTGCAGCCTCTGGTGCCTGATCTTGAGTTGTAATTAACAGAGATTTAAAGGACTTCCAATAGAAGGTGGGTGGGAGGGAGTGGTTTTTTGCTGTTGTTGTTTGTTTTGTTTTATTAGTTGAATTATTCTTTTTTATTCTTTTTTTAAAATATTGTTTTAGATATTGATGGACCTTTATTTTATTCATTTATTTATATGTGGTACTAAGAATCAAACCCAGTGCCTCACACATGCTAGTCAAGTGCTCTACCACCGAGCCACAACCCCAGCCCCCTATTCTTTTTTCATTCTAATTTGTTATATATGACAGCAGAATGCATTGCAATTCATAGTACACATATAGAGCACAATTTTTCATATCTCTGATTATACACAAAGTACAGTCATACCATTTGTATCTTTATACATGTACTTATGGTAATGATGTCTATCTCATTCTACCATCTTTTTTCTATCCCCATCCCCCCTCCCTTCCCCTTCCACCCCTTTGCCCTATCTAGAGTTCATCTAATCATCCCATGCTTAACAAATATATGAAAAAATGTACAACATCTCTAGCAATTAGAGAAATGAAAATCAAAGCTACTCTAAGATTTCATCTCACTCCAGTCAGAATGGCAGCTATTAAAAACACAAACAACAATAAGTGTTGGCGAGGATGTGGGGAAAAAGGCACAACCCTACATTGCTGGTGGGACTGCAAATTGGTGCAGCCAATATGGAAAGCAGTATGGAGATTCCTTGGAAAACTGGGAATGGAACCACCATTTGACCCAGCTATCCCACTCCTCGGTCTATACCCAAAGAACTTAAAAACAGCATACTACAGGCATACAGCCACATCAATGTTTATAGCAGCACAATTCACAATAGCTAAACTATAGAACCAACCTAGCCCTTCAGTAGATGAATGGATAAAAAATGTAGCATATATACATAAGGGAATTATTCAACATTAAAAGAATAAAATCTTGGCATTTGCAGGTAAATGGAT